TTGTGAAGCTTTGTGAGAATATCTGAAACAAACAAACAAACCTACCTGGCTGAAACCAGTGTTTTCTCACAATGTTATCGGAAAGGGTTTCTTTGTTCATGAAACACTCAGCATTGAAGAAAGGCACGTTTGTATAACCGTTTTTGTTGTTAATTTGATCCTACTGTAGAACAAAACCTAAGCTTTTGAGGCATGAATTACTTTTAGCGAGATGAGCAACAGTGTTAGTAGGCTGTTATATCACATTTCCTAGTTTAACAAGTATCCTTTTTGCTCAGCTCTGGTGTCTCACAACGTTACTGATACAAGTAACCAGTTTTACTAAAGTTTGGGTGTTGTAATTCACACAGCTTAACAACCTTGGACAAAAGACCTTGTCGGCATCAGATCAGTTAGAAGTAAAAAGTTTTGAAGTTAGAGCCTGTTTTGTGCTATGAAAACATATAAGTTGAAATCAGGTAGCACCAATAAACATGACCGGCTGGGAGCACTTTAATGCTATTCATAGTGTAATATGTCACCACATGTACTATAGGAAAAAGCTTGATTTTATCAGTGACAAGGCATAGAATAATGATGTAATAAAACCTGTTGTTTCAGTTGAACTTTAGAGTAGTCATAATAAGTTTGACAACTTTAATGAACCTCAACTGTCTGTTGAAAGAAAAGTAGATTACCTTTTGGCTTTAATACTGAGGCATTCTTTGGGTCTGAGCCTGAAGAAGGCCTCAATGTAGAAGCCGAAACGTTGTCTTCATTTCTTTCAACAGACCGTTACAGTCCAATAAAGTTTTTAAATCTACGCAATAAAACATAGTCGATCAACAGCCATCAGCGGAGTTCTGCTGGAAGATATATAAGTAAAAAATAACAAAACACTGTGAGTTGATATCCAGTTGAAGGATTGTTAAAAGGTTCCCAAATGTAAGATAATAAAACATTGCTAATCAACAGCTGTCACGGCGTTCTGCTGGAAGATATATAAATAAAAAATAACAAAACATTGTGAGTTGATATCCAGTTGAAGGTACCCAAATGTAAGATAATAAAATATTGTTCATCAACAGCTATCACGGAGTTCTACTGGAAGATATATAAGTAAAAAATAACAAAACATTGTTGGTTGATATCCAGGTTGAAGGAGCGCTTACAAGGTAAACGCTATTTTGTTTGATAATTATAATTTATGGGGAATTATCGATCTTATTTTATCTTTATTTGTAGCAGTAGAGCATATATTAAATATCTCGAGAAGGAGCATTTGGCTTAAGATACTTCTGTCCCTTTGATTATGAAACGCAAGAATAAGAAGGCGGAATTATAATACTTTGTTTCTTTAAAAGTTACTTTTCACAGGAAGAAAATAAGATAATGTTTAGGTACTCTTCGCTGGAAAACGTTTGTTTAATTCCGAGCCAATGTTAACTGAAGCTTATTGTATTACTGCCGAAGTCAATATAAAGTTTTCCTTTTGACATGCCCCCCAGTGGCACAGCGGTATGTCTGCGGAGTTATAACGCTAGAAACCAGGTTTCGATACCCGTGGTGTGCAGAGCACATATAGCCCATTGTGTAGCTTTGTGCTTAACTTCAAAACAAACAAACCTTTTGACATGGTCCATATTTCTGATCATTTTAGTTTTTTAACGCTTTATATCTGAATGATAACGTGACAGAACTTAACAAAGTTTATATTAGATTTTATTTTGGACCTCTGAACGATAACGGAACAAAACCCAAACAAATTTGATCTTATTTCATTTATTTTGGAGAACTGGGTGATGATGTGACGGAAACTAACATAATTAATTTCACTTTATTTATTTTGGACAACTGGTTTTTTGGTTGTTTTTTTTTTTCCTTTTAGAGAAAAGCCACATTGGACTATCTGCCTTGCCCATCGCATTGTAACTCCATAAGTAAACCTACCGCTGTCCCCCCGGGGGGGGGGGACTGGAGAACTGGATGATAACGTGACAAGTCTACAAATTTCTTTCATATCCCTTTTTTATTTAGGTTGCTAAGAGTATTATCTGTATTATACGTAATTCTCAAATACGGAAAACTGTTTTACATAGGTGTACAATGATTATGTTCTCCTTTTTAACAACATTACCAAAACACTCATTTCACGTAGTGCTTAAGGTTTTGGTTTCGGTAAAGCTAAGAGATCTTAAATGATTTCATGGTCTGTTGCCTACAATCAACTAGTAGTTTCATGCATGAGTAAATATGTCTCGTTGTTTGTTTTGGTTTAAAAGGTAACATAAATGTATCGTATAACAAATGACAACAGAAGTCACAGTTACACGCGGATCACATGCGTAAACAATAAAAGTTAGATTATCTTTACAACTTCAGTATATTAAAACCAACTTTTCTCTCTAAGACCCTTTTATAAGATACGATTTACGTTCCATAAGATAACCGATAAATCCAATTTAATTATAAAATCTCAGTGTAAAAAAAAAGATCTGATAATATTCTATTGGAATTATTTAGCAATTAGCATGAAATTGAGAAAGTCATTTTACGGTGGTTGTTTGTGGTGCTCGAATCGTAACAAAGTTAACATAGATATAATGAAAAAAGTGCACACTATATATACTGGTACTCTCAAATATATAAATATACCATGGATTTAATTACGTCATTGATCAGTCACTAATTAGATAAATATTAAGATTTAATAATAACTTTGGATAAAAAAAAAACATTAAGAGCAAACTCAAAACCGATTTACCAATCGTTGCTGGATATAATATTTAATATTTTACGCAGGAAGAATCAGAACGGTACAGCTGTACGCACGTGCCTCCATTGAAGCTAACTCAGTCAGTAAAATGTTACTTTCGAAACGTCCCCCCTCCCCCTCACATGCGCATGATTTTGTTAAAAGGAGGGATGAAATTCATATTCATTTTTACAAATAGTAATGGCTTCCCCTCCGTTCCCCATTACTTGGAGTACTGGAAGTTGTAGGACATATCTGGGATATATTGAATATACACAACTTTAAAAAAAAATCGTGCGTCACAGAAATGTACAGTCATCACTTTCTATGTGCTTGTTCACTTAACAACTGTCTTAAGCGATATTTCGATATGGCTGGTATGGTTCTATCGTGGAAGTCAACCTATTCCTTATCTGGGAGACCTAAACCTAACATGGCGGTTTTAAATTGGTACTGCAGTTAAATCGGACAATGTCCCCCATCCCACCCACTCCCCAAAAAAGTGAAAAAGCATATCCTCAGATGCTGAGATGTACAGTCAATATTTAGGAGTTTGGCTGCTAAAGCTTGGACAAAGTTCAACACTCATTGAATCATATTAGCCTTCAGAATGAACAGTGTCACACAAGGAACAGTCTTTTTTTGACAATCCGAGCCGAAAGTAATTGCATCTCCTACATTCTACTAGAGTGTATCCTTTTTATTCAAATAAAAACGGTTTCAACAGATAAAATTATCATTGTTATGTCTGGTATCATATACGGTCATTTTGTATATATAACTAGATACTAATTAGCTTTTATTTCTAAGTTCCAGCTAGTAATTTGCTGCCATCTTCAGGGAATCCCTGTGAAGGACTATTTCTGTGGTGGTAGTGTGCGGAATTCGGTCCTTGGTTTCCTTGTTGGAAGTCTTGTGCGTTATCCACTTGGCTGACGCTTATTAATGTAATTTCTTACTGCTTTCACGGATATCCATTAATTCAAAACAAGAGTTATTATTATCTGTATGCTGTAGTCATGAGAAGCTTGCCATATCCTACACAAACTTACACATCCTTTTAACACTGTAAATGTCCAGGCAAGTTTTTAGAATCAACGGTGTCATATGATCGATTTTTTTAATGTGCCATCTAAATATTCCATTTATTGCTTGCTTACCTTCGTGCAAAACTTTTCGAGGACAGAGTAGATACCTGGTTAACACCATCCATCGCCAAATCTTGGGCTACTCTTTTACTAACGAAAAGTGGGGTTGACTGCCACGCCATAACGCCTCCTCGGCGGAAAGATTTGGTTTGATTTGAATTTCGCGCAAAGCTACACGAGGGCTATCTGCGCTAGCCGTCCCTAATTTAGCAGTGTAAGACTAGAGGGAAGGCAGCTAGTCATCACCACCCGCCGCCAATTCTTGGGCTACTCTTTTACCAACGAATAGTGGGATTGACTGTAACATTATAACGCCCCCACGGCTGAAAGGGCGAGCATGTTTGGTGGGACCGGGATTCGAACCCGCATCCCTCAGATTGCGAATCAAGCACCCTAACCACCTGGCCATGCCGGGCCAGCGGCGGAAAGAACGGGCATGTTAATTGAGGGGATTCGAACCCGCGACTCACATATTGTGAGGTGAGCGCCCTAACTACCAGGCTCCCATTCATTTTCTTGCCGTTTCCATTATAATGCGTTTTGATTATTACTTCCCGATATTTCCTATAAATATTTACATTTTTAACTAGTGTCGAGATAAAGGCTGTTTTCGGAACTAGTCAAACTGTTTATTAATATTTCGATGTCAGTAAAGTGTTTCCCTAATCCAATGTATACAAACTGATTTTTAGAAACCGTAACACATACTTCAGTATATCACAATCACAAAAGATTAAATTTCCGTGCATAAACTGAATAGAAGTATAGTTTTTGTTGTTGTGGGGACGAAGTCCTGGTGATTATTGATGGGAATCCGTTCTTCGCTAGTGTCCCGGGCCAAGATACCGAAGCTCTCCGTCCGCATACCTGTTTTGCCGCGGGCATTTTAAGCGCGTAGCTTCTTTATTGTCTGCAGACCCCCATCTGGCCTCTACCTGCTCGTGTGTTTTGAGAGAGCGAATCGTAGAGTTTGGTCAGATTACACGCTGGAAGGACTGCTGTGTGTCAGGTTCTTCACATTATCTGTTCAAGACACAGTAGGTGTTTTCCCCGTAAGAAAATACATTGAAATATTTGTTACGTTTGGATTGTACAGTCACTTAGTTATCCCCAGTTCTGTTTTCAAGATTGTAAAGTCGCGCACTATTTTTTACACGTCCGTAAACTGAAAGAATGAAACTTGAATTACGAAGCAAACGAATAGCATTTTCTATCAAATAACATGAATTTTGGAAGAACTTCAAGAAAGCCCAGCTGAGGTCAGGCGTAGATAGTGACTGGTGTATCTACTTGGTGGATATGATACTGACAGGTCGTTACATCCATCCCATATTATCCTACAATCAGGTATTATACTCAGAATTCCCAAACTGCATTTTAAGTCTTATAACGCTATTTTAACACTGTTTATGAATTTCCGTATTTATATAGGTTGTTTGATTCCTATGGATTTTGATATCGATAACGTGTTGTCAGTCCTGTGTCACACTTACCACACTAGAATTTATTCTCAGATTAGATATTTTTTGTGTGCGGAAATATTTAAACACAAATGTTATTGGTGTCGGGATTTATTAATTATATGCTCTCAAAAATTGTAAATTAAATTGAGAAAGTTTGAAAAGTTAATCATTTAACAGTAATTACATGAAACGTAGTTTTTTTTTTTCTCTTTAACTGTAATTTCATGGGCCCCGTTACGATTTGCAACGTTACGTTCATAAAAATACAAAACAATTTTATTGTGGGTGTTAAATGATCAAATTTCCCGCCTTTTCTTGTATGTGTATTTTAATCCCTTGTTTCCATTAGCTTGTTTTTTCAAAGAATATTCAGATTCTAAAATTTCTAGTTGCATGAGACATCGTGTATTTTCATAAACGACAATATGATTTATTACTTGAATATTTGTAATTATTCAAATATTTCAGTTTCAGAAATGTTGAATTATTTAACAAGATATGTAAAAGGACATAACACTTTATTACCCTTTTTTCTCTGCGCTGCAGGCACCTCTGTTATGTCACACGCATATCCGTGATCAGTACTTGAGAAGTTTAAATGTAGCTTACTTAAATTGGACAAAATGTAAGGGAAGTTGTGTGCAGGTCTCTATATGACAAAACGAAAACCTAAACTAGGCTATTTCTTGAGCTTATAAAATCTACTTCATATTTCAACGAACGAACAACCTTTTTGTATGAAGCAAACAGAAACTTTGAGTGGGCATCACTTTCTTAAGTATTGTGTCAGGGTTTAAATGGTATTTGTTTAAGTTTTATTGTTAGTGTGAACGATATCTGTAAGTTTCATTGCAAGTGTGAACAATGTTTTTAAGTTTTATTGTAAGTGTGAACGCTATTTATTATAAGTTTTATTTTAAGCGTGGACAATATTTATAAGTTTCATTGTAAATCTGGACAGTTTTATGAGTTTCATAATAAGTTTGGATAGTTTTTATAAGTTTTATTTTAAGCGTGGACAGTACTTGTTTCAATGCAAGACAGTCATTAGTTATAAGTTTTATTATACTGCGGTCAGCATTTAAAAGTTTTACTGATAATTGTAGACAGTATTTATAAGTTTCATTTTAAATGTGGCCAGTGCTTATATATTTCATTGTAAGCATAAATATTATGTGTATCTGTGATCAGTATTTACAATTATTTTGAAAACCGAATTTATGGACACATAGAATTCATTGAAACGACTGCTTCTACAAAATAAGAATAAAAAATTGACCAAACGTTTATTTCTATACGTTGTGTATTGGAGAGAGAAAATAAATAAACAAACCGGAAGTAATAAAAATAAATCCAGACTTATAATATTTTGGAATGTCGGTTTCACCAACCGAGCTCTCTCGAATGTTAATACGTTATTAAAACTATTGTATATATTGTAGACTGTCAGTCTGAATCCCGTTAGGTTACAAAACTTTAGCTGAATAATAAATCTTGGTGAATGATAAAGAACGCCTTTCACTGATGCTTTGCCACTCCAGGAGGTATAAAACCAACTAACGAATCATCAACTTATCTTCCAGAGTGGGAGACAACAAATTGTATTTTTTTTTTATGTTTTACTTTTTCAATCATTTCAGAACAATAAATAATAAAGTTTGTTTGTTTCTTGTTTCTCCCTGATAACGATCAGCTGTTCAGACCACTATTTTTAGAAAGTTTTCACAAGTTCGTTACTCTGATTTTGAATTGTGTTTAGGATTTGTTGATGAATATTTGATTAATGATTATAACATTGGCAAAGGAAGAGTTGTTTGATCAGGAACTTTATTAGTGAAACGGTGGAAACATAAATGCGCATACACCACTCACGTAGTGGTAGAATAAGCCTATAGGGAGTTAACCGTGAAAACTTTCTTGTTAATGTCTTTCATGAGCAACAATTTGTGGTGAGGATTTTTTTTTACCCGCACGGACAGCAATTTTTTCCAGTTAACACTTGTTCATCCCACACATGCTAGCGATTCCTGAGGCTATAGACTTGGCGTAAACCTTTTACTGCTAGAGGTCAGTGCTGCCAATCATGTTGGCCACCACGAGCTTATGCATGTCCTACAACACTAAAGAATTTCTGATTTATCACGTTGCAACTGCTGTTGGTAACCATTGTCTGGATGCTGAAGGATGGCCTCCAGCAGACCATGTGTATCTTGACCTAAAGATTCTTCGAAAATTCTACCATTATTTTCATAGATATTTCATCATCTTAAAAATGAGTAACAGGACGCCAGTGTTTAAAGTCAAAGTTATATATCCTGTTGCACTACAGAAACACAGTTAATTACTTTGTTCTTACCCAATGTTTAAATCCAAGTTATGTATCCTGTTGCACTACAGAAACTCAGTTAATTATTTTGTTCTTCATTCAATATTTAAAATCCAAGTTATATTTCCTGTTGCACTACAGAAACACAGTTGATTATTTTGTTGTTAACCCAATGTTTAAAGTCAAAGTTATATATCCTGTTGCACTACAGAAACACAGTTAATTACTTTGTTCTTACCCAATGTTTAAATCCAAGTTATATATCCTGTTGCACTACAGAAACTCAGTTAATTATTTTGTTCTTCATCCAATATTTAAAATCCAAGTTATATATCCTGTTGCACTACAGAAACTCAGTTAATTATTTTGTTCTTCATCCAATATTTAAAATCCAAGTTATATTTCCTGTTGCACTACAGAAACACAGTTGATTATTTTGTTGTTAACCCAATGTGTAAAATCAAAATTATACTTCCTGTTGCACTACAGAAACATAGTTAATTATTTTGTTCTTCACCCAATGTGTAAAATCAAAATTATATTTCCTGTTGCACTACAGAAACATAGTTAATTATTTTGTTCTTAACCCAATGTGTAAAATCCAAGATATGTTTCTTGTTGCACTACAGAAACACAATTTATTATTTTCTTATTAACCGTACCGTACCCAGTGTTTGCAGTTCAAGTTATATTTCCTGTTGCACTATAGAAACACAATCAATTATTTTGGTCTTAACACAACCGTACCCTGTGTTTGCAGTTAAAGTTATATTTTCGGTTATATCACTAAAACATACTTATCTTATTATTGACGTTTTTTATAATTATCCTTGAAAGTCCGGATTACACTGTATGTGTAAACAAAATAACAGAGTAAATTATTTTATTCTTAACGCAGGTGAGTTGATTTCAGACACAACATGAAGAAGATGTAAGATTTTTTGAAACAAGTCATTACATCAAGTTTTTGTGAAAGGAAAGAAAATGAATCAGTTTGTAGCCTGTTTCATAAACTGATAAGAT